CCGCGGTATACCGGTGTGTCAGAAGTGACGTATGATGCTTTCGCCCCCTCTTTCCTTGAAGAGGTAAAAATGGAGGTGAATTATTTTTCCTTCCCTTCATATGTCTCCGTTGATGGGAGAGAAGGGAACCCCGACTCTTTTCTTTGGTTGTACAATAAGGACTAGATCAATGTGTGTTTCTTGGAATGATGTTTCACCAATGGGGGTGTCAATGTCTGGATAAGATTTCCCTAGTCCCAACTCCATTTGTGCCCTTGGATGTTGCTAGCGAGGCAGCGGTAAGAACAACATCGGGGTGGGACGGTATTCTTTGACTCTGCCCATGTCTCCAACGACGCCTACTCGCCCTATTGATAAACTTGGGAGAAAATGTTCATGACTTGGATCAAAAGTTGTCATCTTGGGTGACACATTCAATGCGTGAAGGAAGATGCCAGTTCAATAACATGGAAGGCAATATGAGGACAGCGGATCAGGCGTTCTTCCTCGACAATGTCAGCACCACACGTGGAACCAGGATAAAAGGAAAACTAGGATGATCCTTGATAAGCGCCACAACGACATCGACATCGTTAGCAACAACCACTACCAGAATAAATGACGCTGCCGACGGTGTTAGCTACGCCGATGGCCCCCGTCGGCATAGATGGAGATACGCCGACGGCCGAGGAAAAGCCGTAGGCGTACAGAAGCCGTCGGCAAAACTTCGTCCATGCCGACGGGCACCGTCGGCGTAGATTAGCCGCCGGCATCTCCCCCACTATACCTACAGGGACCGTCGGCATATATACGCCGTCGGCACACATATGGGCCCGCCGACCCAGGACCGGATGGGGAGTTGACGCCGTCACCACTATGCCGACGGCCCTGACGGAGGCCGTCGGCATAGTTAGTACACTTTTTTTAGTTGTCAGAAAACACGTGTGCTATCTACGCCGACGGCCTGGCCGTCGGCATATCTGTGGTCTATATATGCCGACGGCCAAACCGCCAGCATATATGTTTAAATCTAATTTATATAGACTTAAACATACAAAAATTATATGTTTTTTATTTCTGTGGTCTATATATGTTTTTTATTTCTTATTTTATATTTTTAAAATTTAGACTTGATTAGTTTAAATCTAATTTATATAGACTTACACATACAGAAATTATATATGGATTTCAGGCAGAATTTTCCCTATATTATGAATATTCGGTTTGTTTTTACTTTTGAGTACGTTAAAATGTAACCTCATGTAATTTTGCATATAGGTCCTTATACTTAGTAAAAATCACAAATAATTCATACTTCCATAGATTTTGACAACTTTTAAATGACTTTTTTATCATAATCTCGCACCGCCTTGTAGCAATGCCATCGAAACACCGTACCAGGTCCTGATGCGTGTGTGAATGTGTTGTGACATGTCTAGACGCCCTTCTTGGGCTCCGAGGTGTGCCCCCCTCTACGAACGGCAGAGCCGCCGTCACTTGGAGCGGGGAATCGTGCGCGTCGGGTAGAACCGGAGGGAATATATTGGTTGGTTGGGTCCAAACCGTGTTCGGGGTTGTTCCTATGGACTGACCAATCGCAACTAGGTGGAAGAGTACACTGCTCAAAGACCGTCCGGTTGAAGTCAAAGGCTAGATCATCGTGCCGACGCGTAGACCCGACGCATCCGTTTCCCCCATCCAGGTGTCAGCGGCGGTGCCGTCCGTGAGGGGGGCACACCCCGGAGACGCGTGCCGGGCGTTTGCAACCGCCACAACACTTCCAGACTTGTGAGAGGCCACCCACGCAAGATTTGGCGGCATGCTATCCCCCGGAGGCCGCCGGCCACAGTCGTAGACGCGCGAAGAGCAATCCACGTAGAGGGAATTTTTCGTAAACTTCTGCATCACCAAAAAATATGAAAAATTACCATCGTTCCTATAGCACATGTGCCCACGTCGTGCAAAAAAACTCATGATTTTATCGCGCTCTGAGTATTTAATAATATTCACGCCGCATCGTTACCGCAAAACGTCTACTACCGTGTGATCGCCGTCCGTGAGGGGGGCCACACCCCGGAGATGCGTGTCGCCTCTTCGAACATGCCACCACACCATCCCGCATGTATGAGGGCCCGGTGCGACGCTCCGGTGGCATTGCTACCCCCCCAGGGCCCCTGTCCCGCCTAACCCTGTAGCGTTTGACCACGGGATCTAGCCCTTTGACTTTGCACGGACGGGCTTTGAGCAGTGGACCTCCCCACCCGGTTGTGTTAGGTCAGCCCATAGGAACACTTTGGAGCAACATCCGGGCCAGACCCACAGCAATATCCCCTCCGTGTAGACCCGATGCGTCCGTTTCCCCCCTCCAGGTGCCGGCGGCGGCATCGTCCGTGACGGGGGGAACACCCTAGAGACGTGTGCCCGGCGTTTGCAACCGCCACAACACTTCCAGACTTGTGAGAGGCCGCCCACGCAAGATTTGGCGGCATGCTAGCCCCCGGAGGCCGGCGGCCACAGTCGTAGACGCGCGAAGAGCAATCCGCGTAGAGGGAATTTTTCGGATACTTCTCCATCACCAAAAATTATGAAAAATTACCATCGTTCCTATAGCACATGTGCCCACGTCGTGCAAAAAAACTTATGATTTTATCGTGCTCTGAGTATTTAATAATATCCACGCCGCATCGTTACCGCAGAACGTCTACTACCGTGTTATCGCCGTCCGTGAGGGGGGCCACACCCCGGAGACGCGTGTCGCCTTTTCGGACATGCCACCACACCAACCCGCATGTATGAGGACCCGGTGCGACGCTCTGATGGCATTGCTACCCCCAGGGCCCCCGTCCCGCCTAACCCTGTAGCGTTTGACCACGGGATCTAGCCCTTTGACTTTGCACGGACGGGCTTTGAGCAGTGGACCTCCCCACCCGGTTGTGTTAGGTCAGCCCATAGGAACACTTTGGAGCAACATCCGGGTCAGTACCACATCAATATCCCCTCCGTGTAGACCCGACGCGTCCGTTTCCCCCCTCCAGGTGCCGGCGGCGGCGCCGTCCGTGAGGGGGGCACACCCCGGAGACGCGTGCCGGGTGTTTGCAACCGCCACAACACTTCCAGACTTGTGAGAGGCCGCCAACGCAAGATTTGGCGGCATGCTAGCCCCCGGAGGCCACCGGCCACAATCGTAGACGTGCGAAGAGCAATCCGCGTAGAGGGAATTTTTCGGAAACTTCTGCATCACCAAAAAATATGAAAAATTACCATCGTTCCTATAGCACATGTGCCCACGTCATGCAAAAAAACTCATGATTTTATCACGCTCCGAGTATTTAATAATATTCATGCCGCATCGTTACCGTAGAATGTCTACTACCGTGTCATCGCCGTCCGTGAGGGGGGCCACACCCCGGAGACGCGTGCCGCCTCTTCGGACATGCCACCACACCACCCCGCATGTATGAGGGCCCGGTGCGACGCTCCGGTGGCATTGCTACCCCCAGGGCCCCCGTCCAGCCTAACCCTGTAGCGTTTGACCACGGGATCTAGCCCTTTGACTTTGCACGGACGGGCTTTGAGCAGTGGACCTCCCCACCCGGTTGTGTTAGGTCAGCCCATAGGAACACTTTGGAGCAACATCCGGGCCAGACCCACAGCAATATCCCCTCCGTGTAGACCCGACGCGTCCGTTTCCCCCCTCCAGGTGCCGGCGGCGGCGCCGTCCGTGGGGGGGGGGGGGCACACCCCGGAGACGCGTGTCGGGCGTTTGCAACCACCACAACACTTCCAGACTTGTGAGAGGCCGCCCACCCAAGACTTGGCGGCATGCTAGCCCCCGGAGGCCGCCGACCCCAGTAGTAGACGCGCGAAGAGCAATCCGCGTAGAGGGAATTTTTCGGAAACTTCTGCATCACCAAAAATATGAAAAATTACCATCGTTCCTATAGCACATGTGCCCATGTCGTGCAAAAAAACTCATGATTTTATCGCGCTTCGAGTATTTAATAATATTCACGCCGCATCGTTACCGCAGAACGTCTACTACCGTGTCATCGCCGTCCGTGAGGGAGGCCACACCCCGAAGACGCGTGCCGCCTCTTCGGACATGCCACCAGACCACCCCGTATGTATGAGGGCCCTGTGCAACGCTCCGGTGGCATTGCTACCCCCCAGGGCCCCCGTCCAGCCTAACCCTGTAGTGTTTGACCACGGGATCTAGCCCTTTGACTTTGCACGGACGGGCTTTGAGCAGTGGACCTCCCCAGCCGGTTGTGTTAGGTCAGCCCATAGGAACACTTTGGAGCAACATCCGGGCCAGACCCACAGCAATATCCCCTCCGTGTAGACCCGACGCGTCCGTTTCCCCCCTCCAGGTGCCGGCGGCGGCACCGTCCAT